GACGAGCATTGCCCACAGTGCAAATCGTCGACCTATTAGAGACATGCTAATAGATATAGACCGCAGTGCTCTTTTACTCAATGAGAACGAGTATAATATGATTTTATACCTAACAACATTTTTGGAAAAATTCAAAACAATCGTGGATATTTTGAGTTCCGAATCGCAATCTACGATTAACTTGGCGTTGGTTTTTAAATCAGAGATAAGGCGATTATTGGAAGAGTGTAGCGATAGGGAGCCAGTCGTAATTACCAAGATGAAGAATAATATGTTGCAGAAATTGGAACACCGCTTTCCTGGCACAGATCTGATTGTAGCGGCCACTTTGTTAGACTGCAGATTTCATTCAATCAAGGAAATTGACGCATGCATGGAAAGTCGTGAGACTACCAAGGTACAATTTTTATCAAAAATGGTAAAATCTATTCTGAAAGACGAAGATTTTATTGACTCAACAGCCCAAGGAAGCCATAAAACACCTGAACCGAGTACCTCTAAGACTTCCTTCTTGTTCGATTTGGCAAAGCTGCATAGTAGCGCACAATTTGATGTGGAAAGCGATGTCGAAAATGAGTGCTGGAAATATTTCAGCACAGCCACAGTTAAAGATCTTCAGCCCTACAATGATAACGTGCTTGAATTCTGGAAAGACCGACAAGTCTCGTTTCCTTTTCTGTCAAAGTTGGTTCGTGCAATATTATTTGTACCCGCGACAAGTACCCCAAGTGAAAGGGTATTTTCTGTCACTGGTCAAATAATAACAGCTAAAAGATCCCGCCTAAATCCTTTGAGGATAAATCGTATAATGTTTATACACGACAACTATGGTCACTGCAAAACTGATACTCCATAGTCCATATTAGTTATGCTTGTTTTAATGTAAACGATGTATGATTTATTTTCGGTTACATTAATATTTTTAATATTTCATTCGATCACGTCTTTTTGGTTTAATTTACATTTCGGTTGATTTTTTTTCTTAAAAAGTAAATTCTTGTTTTTTTAAATATTTGATTTTAACATGTGTAGGATTAAAAATATAACTCGAAAGGTTATAGATAGATAGTAATTGAGACAACGATATTATAGCTTATTCTATTTGTTTCTTAGGTTTTCACGCGTTTTATTCTACTATATTCTTTGTATGTATGTAGATTTTTATATATGTTTTGATCTCAGTTTAGTTTCTTCTCTAGATTTGTTTGTGCAGTGTTTATTGATCTGTATAATTAGGAAGAATGTTAAAAGAAAGATGTTAGCACCTGACTTATTTAGCAAAAATAGTTGATTTTGCAATGTTATAATATAAACCTATTGATACTTGGTGTGTTTACTTGTTGATTTTTATTTAATTTTATCTCTTTTTGTAAATAATTTAAAATAAATATGTGGTTGAGCAGAAAATAACGCATTTCATTGATTTTTCTATAAAAATCTGCCTTTCATAGTCGCGCCGCCGAAACGCCGCCGCCGCCGACACTTTTGAGTCGGCGCGCCGCCGCCGACAAATCGTCGATCGGCGCTCATATCTACCCCCAAGTGCATATAAAAATATACCAACATTTTGATCTATCCGAAAAATAATATGTACATAAGTTGTACTTTTTAGTTAATTTATTTTCAGCAGTCGTGTTTCTTTGTATAGATACATATGAGTGTTGCGTGCGCTGCTCCATTCCCCTATGCCTTTTGCACCGCCTAATGTTAGGTTATTTAAGAAAAGAAGTTTCACTTCAGATGTGTGCACACAACATGATTTATTACGTTTAGTTTAGTGTTTTTATCTTTAATTAGCTGCTGTTGCCCACGATTTTAAGTGAGTATAATTTGTTAATAGGAGGACTTAATTAACAGGTTTACGTGGTGTGGTAAATAAATCAGGCACCTAATCATTCAAATCCGTCCAGCCGTTTAACAGGAGAGGTAACAAACACACACACACTTTCGCATTTACAACATGATATGTATTGTGTGATATCCCACCAATTATAAAAAATATCGATGTCAAAATCACATGTATAGAATATCGAAATAACGTCACAAAATTACTTCCGTTTATAAAGATATCGATATACAATGGGGAGGCCTTGATGCTGCCTCATGTAAAGGCGGCATTTTCGTTTCCCAGTAACTTAAGACGTATACAGGTTTTTTTCGTAGGCATGCCATATTCATAGGTGTTAGAGGCATGCCATCTTCATAGGATAGTATTCAGAGGGTGAGGCAGAATATTATAGTAAGTTATAGAACTTTATGAAAATTTTCTTCCTCTCGTCGCCGTCGCCGTCATTGACCAATAATGTCAGATTGGTTTACTAATCACGTTAATGTGAGCGTATACGTAGGCAAACGAAAGAATTTTTATGAATACAGTTATTAGCTGGGCGAAATTGATTTCAGAACTAGTTTTTTTGAAAGATACCGTACCATTGGACGACCTCCGAGCCGAGGGGTTTATACGCCGGGATTCACGGTGTCGCCGACTCGAGAGGTCTCGGATTCGAATCTCGGTGGGGGCAGATGTTTGTGTGATGAATACGAGCATTTGTATTCCAGTCATGGATGTTTATTATGTATTTCTATATAGATATACTTATATATGTATAATATATGTGTTCAATCCGTTACCCTAGTATCCCATAACACAAGCCTTACAGTGCAGTTTGGGGCTAGCTAATTGGTGTGAGTGTTGGAAATATTTATTTTGGTGTATTATGTGGTTATTATCTTACCGCAGCAATTTGATCTTTATACTTTTATGCCTACAAGCACTCAGTTCCCCAAGCATGAATAACTAGCGAGACAGTATTCGTAGGTACCTCCATCATTTTTCTATGGAAACCAAGCAGCGCGACAACCGGATGTAAGAACAAACTAGCTTCTTCCATAGAAACCTCGTCCTCCTCGGTCCTGCTTGTTTTCTGCTTTGCTTGTTTTCTTGTTCTAGTAAGGGAGGCAAAGATCCTTAATCGGAATTTACTCGAGCGTGGCGGGCATCTCTTGGATTGTAAAGGTTAGATGCCAAAAAGAAAAAAAATGGATGTAATGTTGCATTGATGGGGCGAGCGTACTCAGGTTTAAAAAATATTTAAAATATAAACAGTCACAAAGAAATACTCGACGCGCGTCAGTTATTAAGAGTGGACGTGATCTAAGAGACATTTGAGAAATAAGTATGTATTTGAAAAAATCTATTGCTGTCTCGCATTGGTAAATACCGTACGATAGGGGCAACAGTAGCTAAAGCTAACGATTGCGTATAAAAATACAATATTCGAGGTATGGCTCACAATGATTTCCTCCTCTCCTAAAGGTACAAGTCCGAACAGTACCCAATAGACTACATTATATACTAGTAACTTGTCAGTCGTAGTTCAACGCCGTTATAGAGCAGTAGCGTTCTTCTTAAAATATATATACAGAGTTGCTAAAACAAATATAAATATTTCGTGAAAGAAATAAAAAAAATAAGGATGATGATGGCAGTAAATATTTTATGAGAGCCTTCGCATATCTATTAGTTTTTTGTATTTTGTTATTTGGTTTGAAATAAAAATTATAGTTTTTCATTAAAATAAAAAGTCGGTTTTACGGGCGAAGATTTTACGTGACAACGTCTTTTTCTCGGTAGAATATTTATTGATATGAATATAATTAAATTGCACAATAGGAACAAGGAATTGAATGAAAATAAGAATTGCACAAATTTTAACTATAGAAATATATTTTGTTTACTAAAACATTGTACATGTAAACTTAAACTCATCGTAACGTTACCGAGCGTTACACTTTTTCATAAGTGACTCCCAGCCGCAACCTAATTTAAGACGTTGTCACGTCAAAAATTAACATACATAGTACATGTTGTCTTTTACCTACATGTTTTCTTTTTGTATTGATTTCTAAAAAAAAATTAGCAGCTCTTAATAGATACCGGACTGTTAGTGTTTCGTATAACAGAGATGACGCTCTACAAAGCCGAAGCTAGCCGAACATCTCTCACTAAAGCACGATGCGACTTATAAATGGCCTGGTATTGATGTCGATTCTGACACGATTCTCTAAACTTAAAACTTAATTTACTATGAGTCTCTACTTTTCATTCTGTATAGAGAATGACAAGGATACACTGTTGTCAAATTTAAGTATAGCTTTAGAGAATCATGCTAGAATGGACACCACTGTATTTATGAACTTGCCCCTCCCTAGCCATCGGATGTATAACCATAGAGGTATAAGATTAGAGTAGGGGAGATATGTACTCTACTATAAGTAGAAGTGTCCATCTAGTAGAAAGAGAAAGAAGATGAGTGAAGACTATCTCTCTATTGTGACGCTGCGCAGTCGTGTGATTGGACGGTATTCATCCGAAGGTTTTTATCCAATGCGCATTCGCGATTAGAGAGAGAAAGGCTAGCTCAGTTTTCCTGTATTATGTGTTTATTATGAATACTATTACAAAATAAAATATTGGAGTCGAAAAGTTGCCCGAAAAAATCGAGTAACCACGCGTACCAATCTAAATTTCGTAGAGATAACTGTAGGGGTGGGTTTTTTGTCACGTGTAAAGGCATGCCAGCATATTACCTACTATTTATTTATTTTTATGAGGTGATCCACTACTCCTTTTTTTTAACGCCAATGAGATACTTGCCCTGAAAAGCATCGATGGATGGATATGTAATTTTCTCTTTAGTTACACACTGTAAGAGTCAAAAAAGTTAGTGAATAGGCCACCTGAAACCAGTTAGCGAACAGGCCTACAGTGTACAGAGCTTATTTTAACATATTAATATATAAAAGCCCTGCCCTGGAAGGGTACGGTAAGGGTAATAGTCACCGATATAACGGGATATAATGAAATTTTATCTTTAGGTACTCATCGTAAATGACAAAAAATACATTAAATTAATCTTAAGTGTTAATATTTAAAATACATAAAAATAATCCAGATGACAAGGCAACTTAAAATAAAATTTCGAAATGGCAACCCTGATTAAACGTCAGTGTCAGAAACGGAATGAATTTTGGCATTGCAAAAAATAACCTTTTTCAATTGGATTCGTAATCGCTAATATTCGTTATTTGTAGGTGAACTATAACAATTCCAATAAAATATTAAACAATTTTTGAAAATCATGACTGAAGAAATCCAGAAAAAACTTCAAAAGGAACTCGAAATTTTTAATGGAGTTCAAAAGGAATATCATAAGGCTATGGCCCAAAAGCAGCAACTAGATAGCCAGTTGAACGAAAATAAAGCAGTCAAAGAAGAATTGATGTTACTCAAAAAAGATGCAGAAGTGTATAAATTAATAGGGCCAGTCTTAATAAAGCAGGATTTGGAAGAAGCCAGACAAAATGTTGCGAAACGAATGGAATACATTAATAAAGAAATGAAAAGAACAGATGATCACATTTCGGCATTAGAAAATAAACAAGAGGCTTTGCAAGAAAACTTAAATAAACTAAAAAATGATCTAGGGAAAATGAAAATAAAAGCTTGATAAGTATTACTAAGGAGGGTTATGTATTCACTGCGCTTTTGTGTAACACAATTTGAAAAGTCTCCAATAACATTGAATTTGTATTTACTAATTACATTAAACTAATTCCTGTATTAAGTTGTTTTTGTTATGGTGCAAATAGCTAATAATCTAGTATTTAAACTACCTTTATATCTAAATATATCAGTGTTGGGTTACTAAGTGAACAAGAAGAGTGAAGATATTTAATATATTGTAGGAACTGTAGAAAGTTTACTTATTTTAATTTCACAGCCCAATGACAGTGTCTCCTGTTTGTCAGATAGTAGAGCACTCCAATCTTTTAATAACTCTGAATTCAGTGCAGGGCCAGACTGAGTTTAGGGGGCCCTGGGCTAATACTACTTAGGGGCCCATCTAAATACATCAAAGTATAGAAAATGAGACTGTAAAATATTAAATTTATATTATAATATATTATGCCTTAGTGTCATACAACCATAAATAAATTGACAAATTATAACCTTTCCGCACTTCTCTTTAGCAAATTCTTTAATTTGCTTCTCACATTCTAGGTTCTTAGTTAAATTAATATTTATGGATAAATGGTTAAGTTGTTAGTTTGACATCATTGTTCTGTATTTATTCTGCATATATGACATCCTGGAAAAGTTGTTTGTGATTGGCAAGGTTAAATATATTTTTAACATTGTATAGCAGTTCGGAATACGTCAACAAGCTTCTTTTCATAAATAATCGTAAAAATGTCTATGCAAGACAAGTAGGACTGCCGACTGAAGCAAATAAGTTTTAAATTGGGTGCATGCATTCTTTGACTAAATATTCATTCACATCATCGCAATAATAACCGGGTGCTTTCGATTGATAGAAATGCATACCGGGAGTTCAGGGTTGCTAACCCATAGGCGGCTATTACACATTCAATCTGGATCACGATTCGCTACATTTCTCCAAAACAAAACTTTTTCTTTCTATCCTGCTAGTTATAAATAATTAAGAATGATAAATAATGGTACTTATAAATAATTCTAGCAAGATAGAAAGAGACTCAGTCTGGGAGGGAAACAGCTGAGCACAAATTGAGATGAATGTGTAATTGCAGCTGAACATTTTAACTGCCAGTTCAAAGTACCAACACCTGAAAGTAGACTTGAATTTAATGAATTGAATTGTTTTAATTAATTGCAGTGCTGCAAACTATACGATCTGTTTAATAAAATTATGGATTCTTTTGCATTATCGTCTATTTTTGACTAAACTTGACTTAGCTGGGGGCCCCTTGAATCCATGAGACCCTGGGCTGAAGCCCAATAAGCCATTATGATATATCCGGCTCTGATTCAGTGAATAAAAGGAACTTCTTATTCAATCCCATAAACAAATTAAAATTTATAAATGGAAGGCTAACAATTCTCACATTGTTTTAGTTTATGAGAAAACTAGAGGTACCCTGCAGTTTCACTTGTGCAATCAATATTTCCTACCTGTAATTACCACTGCCCTACCTTTAAATCACTCTGGCTACTGCCCTGGTATAACTACATGGTCAAACTATATCTATGAATAAAACTATATTGTTTTTCGAATCCAATAAGTAATATTGAGCAGTAAAACAAATAGATTTTTTTTAATCCATTCTATTAAATTGTAAAACTAACGAACTAGGTGCCCTGCAGTTAAACCTGCATTAATTTGAGAAAAAAGTTATAGGTCTTCCATAAAAGATATGACGTCCAAACTGGTTTAATAATGGAGTTGTTTAAAGGAAGCTTGTCAATTGATAGGGTAGACTTGTGGTTCAAAGGCCAATGAAGGTTTCTTGTTTTTTATATTGTCCTCATCTCTCAATGTGCAATGGGTACAAAAAAAAACGTTTGATTGAGCCTCAGGGGGCTGAAAGACATAGAAAGTAAACTTTGGTTTAAGTGGCATAGACCAATCTACCTGTATTAACTTATTTTCATAACAATGCTACAAAATTGTTGCTGTTTCAGCAGGACATATTTCGAGGACATATAAACAGCAATATTCTCGAGTTATTGTGGACAAGGTCATGCATGAAATAATAACAAAGTTAATATAACATACAAAATATATTTTCGTTATCTAATGGCACTGAGTGATTAAATTTGGAATCAAATATAAATGAATACTTATTATTGGCCGATCGAATTAACAATGATTGACAGACATCCCAAAAATATAAAAGCTGTAATGTAAATATAAAACTTACAGCGGAAAGAACAATATAAATGTAAAGGAATGTTTGTTCCTACTTTAAGGTAGTTTGGTACTACCGCATGTACCAATATAATGAATATGTACCTATCAAAAATATTCTTATTCTATATAATTAAGAGTATATCTAAACAAAGAAATGGTCCCTAGTTGTGACACAATTACTTATAATACCATAAAAAATATCATTTTCTTTTCCCTGTTGGGCTCATTATTAAAAAAATATGATCTATTTTAAGTCAAAATGTATAACAGTCATTTTTTGACGTTCTTTAAAACGACATCCACTCCAACCGATTTATTCCAATACATTACTGTCCACCTCAACTTAAATATAAGGCCTTAAACTGTAAATTCTTGTGTAAATATACTTACAACATGTGACAAATGTCATAAAAAGTATATTAATATAGTAAAAGTGTATAAAGTATTTAAGATGATATGAAGATGTATACTATCAAATATTTGCATTTTGAACATTCACTCATTGTTTTGTATTAATGTTAATGATAATAATTTATCATTAACATTAATACAAAACAATGAGTGAGGGTGAAGTCAAATGAGCGTATTTTTACCCGACTGCACAAGCAAGCAACGCGGAGCGCAGAGAGGTTATTTCGAGTTGTGAGTCGTATAATTTAAGCTGCATTTAGTTTCATAGAAAAGTCCTGTTTGATACAGACCGTGAGACCGCGACGCAAAACGAGTAGGAATTTTCTATGAAACCAAATGCAAATTAATTTCCGCGACGAAATTACGCGACTTCCAACACAAAAAAATAGCTCGTTTGGCGTCGTCCTAAAGTATGATCCTTCCGCAGTAGTCGTATAGACTAGTAAAAGTAATTACTTCTGTTTAAGTAATTACTTGACCAACGTATTTCATTTAATACTTAAGAATTTGACCAAGGTAAGGAATAGAAACCATTTTCGTTACTAAGCCCCTAATCATTTGTTTTTATTCAAGAATTCATGTGTCTAGTAATGTTCTGATTACAGTACAATCCGTTTATTATGACTTCGAAGGGAATCAGCAAACACGTCATACTAAGCGGACGTCATACAAAGCATTTTTGTGAAACTTTTTTTATTGTGAGATGAGTTTGAATCTCCATTTTCTAATCAGCATAATAATATGCTTTGCACCTTTTTCTTCAGTCGTAAATGCTTTACGACGTTGAGATGACATTTTTTTACATAGCATATCACTAAAAACAATGCTTGATGTTCAATTTGAATCAACGGACATTACCGTAGGTGTAAAGTACCATGTCGGTCATAACAAGCGACATGTCACTGTAAGCGAAGTCATTATATCCGACATTGTTACAATGAATTTTATATGAAAACCAAACTTCGTTGTGTAATTACGTCATAATAGGCGGTTGGTCAATATAGGCGGAGTCATAATAAACGGATTCTACTGTACTTAGCAAGAAGTAATTACTTGTTTTTAAATTTGAATGTTAATGTTACTGTGAACTTTTTTTGCTAAGGATTCTGAGAGCAATTCTGTTTTAATTTAGTCCATATTTTCCAATAAGGGGTTAAGTTACAAAATTATTGTCCACCTCTGTTACTTAATTCTACTTTGAATACAAGGCACACTACAAAATGGCATCTCTTGCTTCACAACAAAACGACCACTCAATAAACTCTTGCCGCACATGCGACCAGAACATATGAAGCAATCAGCATGCCAATGCGTATTGCTCCAAGATACACCCTGCTGCTCAGGGCCAATAACACCGCCACATGCGCGACAGCGTTCTGCGTGAAACTGGTCGTAACAAGAGAGACAAATGGGTAAACCAGTCTTATCATCAGGAACGTACTTCGAACCACCGAGTGGCGCATCACAATGGTAGCAACAAAAGTGTTGCACATGGAACGCTCTGCCCTCCGCTGCAGTATATGGACGAGTGAAAATCAGCTCGTCGCACCCAGCACAGCGTGGTATGTCCAATACATTGGCTAAATCTCGGGCGCAATAAATCTCCCCTTTATAAAAGAAGTATACGAGGTCAGCCAAAAGTTCCCCGCATTTGCTACAAGTGAAGCACTGTGGATGCCAGATTGCCTCTTGGCCAGCCCTCTCTGCCTTGACCGCTACTTCGCCAGCGAACATAGATTTCTTGCAACGTTGACATGGCACTCCCTCATTATACAATTTCCTGTTAAACTCCAATTCGGCGGGACTGAGGGTCATGTCTGTTAACTGATTAATGATTGGGTCTAGTTGCTCACCATAATTGGAACTTTCTGAAACTACATTATCATTACCTTCCTCATTTTGGACGTTATCATTTGTGTGTGAAGACCAGTCATTAGCGGTAGCTGGGGGCGGTATAGCACCTGGATATGTGCTATAGTTTGGTAAGGGAGGTGGCGGCAACTCATCCTCAGAATGAGTGCGAAGATATTCCCTCAAAGGAGCTGTCTGTTGAGGTTCGACCTGGTTCAAGGGTTTAGTAGTAGTTGAATACTGCGGGCTGATCTTCGTAGAACAGATGATTCCACTATGTTCGGGTGTGGTTGGCTCATGTTTCCAGCTCCATATCTCTCCATTGGGCGCAAATATAGTACCTTTCTGTATTCTGCTGTCAATTAATTTAGCATTGCCCATAACATTGTTATTAGTAGTCGACCAAAGATCCGGCATAATTTGCGTTCCGAGCACTTTACTAACAAAATCGTTTGTCTCTTCACGGAACTGCGGGTTTTTATTATATTCATCACGGAAGAGTTTTATTGGCTGTAAATAAACGTCGTTAGCGACTGGCATACCGAGATCATTTAAGTTCTTGAATAGTTTATCGTACACAGGCCCATGTTCTACGGCGCTTTTTATTCTGTCTGATTCTATGCGCATCACATGTAGTTTATCTTTTACAATTCGGCTCAATATTGGGCAAGCTTTATAGTCGGGTAGATTGGCAGCACTGCTTACTACATTGCCTTGCGAATCTAATACAAGTTTCTTGTCAGAGGCATTTTTCGGTACAATGTTATACTTTACGCCTCTAGATACGTTAGAAATTTTCAATGGAAGCGCGTATGATTTGGGAGCAGTGTGAGACTTGCTGTTCTCAACTGAATAAACTTCCCCGCTTTGAAGAGGTCCTACACGAACGACGTTACCCATACCCACAACATGATCCTTTATTCTTGTTATATATTCCTGAAAAAGAAACCGATTGAATTAAAACACCCATTGTATTTCAAAAATATACTCTGTCATAAATTATCTATCCAATAAATGTGCACTTGAACACTAATCATGGGCAGGATACAGTATAGTGTCATCAAGCAAAAATTTAAACTACCGCGCATACCGCTCATTTTTTATGGTTATAAACGGAGTATACAAAGGTGTAAATTTTTATTAGTTGACTACTGACTGACGAACTCTAAACAAAATCAATGATAGATGCTAAATATTGAGAGACAAAAGTGACTACAAAAATAATTTATTGGACAAAGTGGTCCTTCGAGCCGAACCGGAAAATGTACAGACGCACCAAGAAATAAAATATTTTTGTTCAGTATTTTTCGAATAGGAATTCATAATATTCACGGAAAGGATGCAATAAAACTAACTTTTCTATCACTTTATAACAACCCCGACACCGGCGCCAGCGGGCCCATGCAAAGGTTTCTATATAGCTAGTGGGGTTACATATCGTATGCTCGGACTTCTCTTGGTCGTTGGCGTGTTGTCTTGCGGTGATCTTCGGCGTATGGAGCACCTCTGAGCCCTACACATGCACCAGCGGACCCAGCTGTAGGTTCCTTTCTATTCAGTAAGTTAAGACAGACTTATCTTGGTCGTTGGCGTGCTGCCTCGCGGCGGGCGCCACGTCGTGCGACGGCAGGTAAAGATACGTAGATAACTAGTTGGGTAACATACCGTATGCTCGGTTTTCTTTTAGTCGTTGGCGTGTTGTCTCGCAGCGGGCGCCACGCCGTGCGGTATCAGGTAAAGTTCCCTGCATAGCTAGTTGGGTTACATACCGTATGCTCGGACTTCTCTTGGTCGTTGGCGTGCTGCCTCACGGCGGGCGCCACATCGTGCGGCGGCAGCTGAGTACGGAGCTGGGCGCGCCGGCGCCGCGCCGCGTCTGACCCCGACACCGGCGCCAACGGGCCCAGGCATGACATGTACTCCGATACCTGAACAAACGCACACTCTTAAGGGCCGAAAACGAATTTAATGCCAGCTCCGGCAATATAATATATCCCATCGTCAAAGCACACTCTTAAGGGCCGAAAACGAATTTAATGCCAGCTCCGGCAATATAATATATCCCATCGTCAAAGTTTCTATGAAAACTAAGCAGCGCCTAACGGACGTAAGAACAAACTAGCTTTTACATTCAAAATTTTAATATGACGATATGTCACGAAGCTGTCAAAAGTCAAAAGCTACAAAACCATATACCTAACCCTAGCGATCCTCCCCAGCCTGAAACGCACACGCAATGAAATGCCCAAACTTTATTTAATGCAATAAAATTTTGATACCTCCTCCCTTCACTTCAGTAAAGACTGTAATTTTTGGAAGAAAATTCAGCAGTATGGCTAGATGAAAAATTTGTAAGATCCTTTCTTCACAACCTAGCTAGGCAGCTGGATAAGTAGCCAGATAGAGAGCTAAGTGGGTGACCACTGACGATGGTGGATAGTGGACTTGGTTTAAAGTTTTGTTTAATAGTTTGAAGGAATGGGACGGTCGGGGCCATGTCCCACCATGCTGATTGGACTCGCCACGTGGGCCCAATGCAGTGTGGTATATAAATATCTTCTATCTATTTAACTTTATTTCAATTGAGCGTTCTACGACACTCACGGAATTATTATTTTCTGCTATATTATACTTGCATATAAACTTTCCTGTAAAATTATTCAATCAGAAAACTGCTTTCAATACCATATATAGTTTAAAAGATCTGTGCATACACCCAGCAGGAACAACTTTGTTTTGTGCTTACTATGAAAGTTGGTATAAATCACTAGCCATGCCCAGCAGTTTTACCCACATTAATTTAACCATATATTAATATATTTCAACAAACAGTTTGTGATATACTCGTCTGAGTTGGAGCGATCCGGAGGAGATCAAATTTGCAGCTTTTTTCCTAAGAATTGTAGAATTTTGGTAACCATTTTTCTATAAATATTATTATTTTCATTTGGAAATTTTCAGCTTTGCTAAAATTATGTTTGTCAGGTGACTCCCAGCTTTTCCTCTGTGTGGTAGGTATAGAGACATATGATACACATAAATAGTTGCATGTAACATGTGACTTATCTTATTCTATTTGAAACTGAACATTCTTTTTTATTATAACTACAGTTTTTTTGTTTAAGTTTAACTAAATTTGTATATTTACCAACTCAGTTGAAGCATTTGGAGGAACCCAATCCAATTTGACTGGTTTATCAGTGACTCCCCTGATTTTTATCAATGGTACTGTAAGAGATATACTTTTATTAATAATAATTGTGTCTTGTAAATAGATAACATGTGTAAATAATGTTTATTCCAGAAATAAATAAGAACTTTATGAAATGGAATGTCCTCTTACTTTAAGACTACTGTGAAATACGCAAACATTGCCTACAACGGTATCTTTGCCATTTTAGGCAATTACAAAGAAAACTTTGATGCGCAAAAATATCTTAATAATTTAACAACATTGATTAACTCTGCGGAATATAGTAAGTTATATTAGCATTACAATATATTCAGTGTATTGCTAAATTCACAACATAATGTGTGGAAGCTCTTTAAAATAGGTGTGTTTTTGCAGGCATAATTTGGTACACTTTTATAAGTCTATCATGCATTATGGTGAATATATAGGTTTGTTTGCTTTATAAAAAGGACAGGGTAATATTGCCCAGTCATTTTACTAGAAAACTTTCCTGATTATCACTCAAGTTCCTAAAGTAATCGCCAACTTTTCTGAAAAACTTTCAACGGTTTTTTACATTTTTCTAGAGACCATACTGTCATCAGAAATTGTAGTGGACAATGTTGGCTAAAAGTCCATATAAATCCTTTGCATGCTTAAAAAATCCCAAAATAATAACGATTATTTGAAAAAAACGGGTAATGTTGGTGTGTTTCACAATATTTGTCATAATTTATTAAATCAAAATCTAATTCTGTGTGTGTGTTACCAAAATGTAATTTTAATAAGATGATGCTCCAAACTGCAGTTTAAAATGTAACTGGACAAAATTGATTTAGCATTGAATATCAGACCGGTTGAGGTTACCTGAGGGAACTTGAAAGTAGATTATGTAAAATTTGAACAATTTTCACATCTATGTACTGATTTCGCATTCAACTATACTTTACCATAACTTTATTTTATAGTTAAGAGTACCAAACTATACATCTTTGTATTATATGTGCATTAGTTGGACTGTATGGAGATATTTAGCGATTTTATGTACTTCCAATGCTAAGGACTCAAATCATTGTTTGATTGCTTACAATATATAGAAGAAATACTTACAAGAACCTTTCTTAGGCCTTGCAGTTCCTAGTAATTCAAACTGGGCCCATCCTGATAAGTCATCATCTTGAACATCATGTACATCTTTGCTGCAGTGGCATGAGCGGCACACTTTCCTCCAAAAATGTAAATCCAATCCAGGGCAAGAGGGACCTATTTTAATAAATAAAACTCAATATTTTTCTATATGATAAAAAAAACTTTTTGACAGCAAAAAACCACCAAAAAGTAAAAAAAACCTTTTTCAAATTAAGTAATTTTAGTCTAACTCCAAATTAATAGTTGGAATTGGTGCCATGCCAACCCAAGTAGTAAATGGGAACTCAGATCTATCAGACATGCATGGCACCAACTCCAAATATTAATTTGACTAAAGATAAATGAGGTTTAATATTTTTTACTTTTTGGTGGTTTCATCATCATCATCATCAGCCTATTAATGTCCCCACTGCTGGGGCTTGGGCCTTCCCTATGGATGGAATAGGGAGTTTGGGCCATGACCCATCAAGCAGGCCCAGCGTGGATTGGTGGGTGCTAACAACTGCAGATGCACCAGGGACCAATGGCTTAACGAGCCTTCCGAAGTACGTAGTAGCTCAAGATAGTAAATTTATGGTCACCCATCCAATGACTGACCACTGCGAAAGTTGCTTTACTTCAACGATCACAGCTGAAAAGTATTAAATCAGACTATTCTGTAAAAAGTTTTGTGTGGTCATACAAAAAATATACTATAGGTTTTACTGAAGCAATATTAACAAGCATATAATAAACTTATCTATAAATATATATTACAATGTTTCTTTTTGTTTATCATGCTCTAATACTGTTATCAAATATTAGATAAATCACATCCTCCTTAGTGCAAAACTTATAAATACCACATGAGTTGCATGGTGCTCCAGCTCCACTATCATGTCCTAATCGAGCTTTACTTAGTTTTTCTCGTTGGCTTTCTAACTTGGAAAGCCAGGCCGGCGCCTCTGGAGTCTCGACACATGATTCACTCATCCTAAAATGAGTCATAAGTTTATCAAGAGACACATAATTTCTTAAGTTCTAAGAATATTAAATTTCTTATTCACCTAAGTTATTGTGTAGAAAATACAAACGGATTTTTCGTTTAATAAAATATATTTTGCAAAAATAAAGATAACATGACTTCTCAGTGGATTTCAGAGACTGTTGATTTGATAACACAGATTACAGATCACTTTAAATTTTGTTATTGACCACAGACTATTTGTTATTGACATGACAGTCACAAAATATAAATACTACTCTTTGGTCACAAACACAGACTATTTAGATACTACGTAAGATGTCTGGAACGTCATTGTGCGAAATCGGTGGAGCTGCCTACTTAAACCGGTATTTAAGTAACCAAAATCGGTATATGAAATAAATACAATATTAAATCAAATTCATTTATTTATCAAAAAATAAACTTACAGACAAATTTTTACTTTACTTTTTAACCGATTCCAAAAAGGAGGAGATATATTTTTCATGTTCTCCGCGCATATTTCCGAGTTATGTGTGATGTGTCCCTTAAACACAATACTAGTCTATGGGTACGGCCAGAGTGCACTCAGATGCAGATTCAGATTCAGACTCAGAAAACAAGCGCGAGAAATAAACAGTGTAGTTTAAGCAGGTTGCCTGCTGCCACTATGGCCACCCTGCTTTAACTAACTACACTGTTTATTTCTCGCGCTTGTTTTCTGAGTCTGCGTCTGAATCTGAATCTGAGTGCACTCTGGCCGCATCCTAACGCTGGTGTCCGTCATGCTAGCGTACACCTCATCGAGTTCGAGGTTGTTACTTATGTTTTTAAATATTGGTGCCAATTCTCGCGTGATTCTCTAAACTTAAAACTAAATTTAATGTCAGTCTCTCCTTTTCATTCTGTATAGAGAATGACAAGGATATATTGCTGTCAATTTTAAATTTAGGTTTAGAGAATCATGCTAGAATCAACACCAGTGCCTAATTAGTGAAATTATAGTGTCGACAGAATGTCAGGATTCACTAAAACTAAATTTAACATTAGTTTCTCTTTTCATTCTGTATAGAGAATGACAAGGATACACTGTTGTCAAATTTAAGTTTAGGTTTAGAGAATCATGTCAGAATCGACTCCAATATTAAACTTCCTTTTTAGTTAAGATAATAATTGCTGTTTTCATGGTGTACGCTGGCATGACAATCAAAATAGTACACCAGGCCATACTCGAAAACGGCTTATTATTATGCAACCAAATTTTCACAGAAAATAGATCACAATGGAAAAAATCTCTTATTACTCCTGTACCAAAAAATAACAAACCAAACGATGTAAGTCAATATCGACCAATCTCTAAACTTTGCATTTTTGGAAAATTACTAGAAAAAATTGTGATTGATTAGATTTCTTTTGGGGTTCGTAATTATATTTCGGTGAATCAACATGGTTTTTACCGCGGTAGATCCGTTGACACAAATTTAATTCAATTTACTGATTTTTTGTTGAATGCTATGAATAAAAATCAGCAGGTGGACGTCGTGTATACCGATTTCTCAAAGGCTTTTGATAAAATAAGTCACGATATATTACTTTTAAAGCTTTGGGAGGCCGGTATACACGGGGATTTATTTCGCTGGATAAAATCATATATAACGAATCGTTCCCAAGCAGTTTCAATCCGGGGATTCACGTCTAACTTTAAAATCGTACCCTCTGGAGTCCCCCAAGGTTCGCATTTGGGGCCTCTTCTATTCATTTTATATAAAAACGACATTGAAAACTGTGCCAAAACTTGTAATAGACTCATTTACGCCGATGATGCAAAATTTTATAAAATTATTCAAAATGTAAACGGCTGTATTGAATTCCAAAATGAATTATCCAATATATTTGACTAATGCTCCCAAAGTCACCTCTATTTAAATTTAGACAAATGTTCTATTATAACATATACACGTAAGCGCAACCCCATCTTTTTTGAATAAGAATTTAATGATCATAATCTAAATAGGGTTGAAGAAATTAGAGACCTAGGAATAATAATGGATAATAAATTGACCTTTAGAAATCTCTATGACCATATAATTCAGAAATCATATAAATAACTTGGCTTTTTATTACGGGTCTGTAAACAATTTAAGAAAGAAGTAACCTATAAAACACTTTATTTTACTATGGTACGTTCAATCCTGGATTTTGGCTTTGTTATTTGGAACCCTTATTATGAATGTCATAGTAAACGGATAGAAAAGATTCAAAAATATTTTGTAAATACGCTTGCATACCGAACTGGATCAAACTTTACCTCATATGAGGACTGCATTAAAAAATATAATTTAGGTACTTTTAACTTACTGCGAACTATAGCTATTGTGAATATCAAAAGCAATGTCAATTTAGAATTTTGTATTTTATATCATTATATAATCTTAGCGTTCCGTGTAATATTGAAGAAATAACTGTCTAGTAATATTAGCACTTAAATCCTTAAGTTTTTTTTGTTCCTCTTAAGTATATTTAGACTTATGTGTTGGCACTCAAGGTCTATAACTTTGTTTACTGTAAAGAAAATTGTATCAATGTACATGACTGTTTGTTGTTCAGAATAAAATAGAATAAAAAATAAAAATAGTGCTCTAATAGTGCCCATAACATGCAAAATTTCATAATCATTGCTAATAAAGTAATAAAGATATCGAACAAGACTTATAATCTCGCTTTATCGCGCGCAGCTGCTGACTGCTACGCTCACAAACGTGTTACAAAGAAAAAGCCCGTGATCGGCTGGAATAAATACGTCAGCGAGGCTCACAGAAACGCAAAGAGTAAAGTTATTAAGTGGGTGTTCTATGGAGAACCTAGATCTGGTTGGATGTGGGATGAAATGCAAGAAAGTCGTAAAATTTTTAGGTCCCGGCTAAGATGGTGCCAAAATAATAGGGAACAAATAAAAATGGACATACTTGCTTCTCATCACGCTGGTAATGATTTTAGTAATTTTTGGAAAAGTACTAATAAGTTAAACAGTAAGCCGGGCGTTCCTGTGAGCGTTGAGGGTATTAGTGACAAACGGTGTATAGCAAACATGTTTAAAGACCATTTCAAAGTCAAATCACCATTAGGTCCGCCGCAGTCTCGGAGTGTTGAGGGATGTCATGACCAGGACCTGAGTACCTTAATAACAGTTATGAGTGTCAGAGAAGTTATTAAATCAATGTCTCGAGGAAAATCTCCTGGTCATGATGAACTAAGTATTGAGCATCTTAAGAACGCTGGAGGACATCTGCCTAGATTATTGGCGATGTTTTATAACCTTTGTATTGGACACTCGTACTTACCTTCTAGCATGATGAGGACTGAGGTGGTGCCGATTGTAAAGTATAAGACTGGTGACACTAGTAACAAGGGCAATTATCGTCCTATTTCGCTTGCAACTATTATAGCAAAAGTGCTTGACGGTCTGCTTGGGGCTCAACTTGATAAGTATATTACCAGCTACGATAACCAGTTTGGCTTTCATCATCATCATCAACAGCCCATCATAGTCCACTGCTGGACATAGGCCTCTCCAAATGCACGCCACTCAGATCGATCTTGGGCTACTCGCATCCAGCTCCTGCCAGCCACCTTGCGCAAATCGTCACTCCATCGTGCCTGAGGACGTCCTACACTACGTTTGCCTAGACGCGGTCTCCACTCCAGAACTCGTCTACCCCAACGGTTATCGGTTCTTCGGCAAATATGGCCAGCCCACTGCCACTTCAACTTGCTAATCCGGTGGGCTATGTCGAGAACTCTGGTTCTCTGTCGGATTACCTCATTTCTGATGCGATCTTTCAGAGAAACGCCGAGCATAGCCCTTTCCATAGCGCGTTGAGCGACTTTGAACCTGTGGATCAGCCGTGCCGTCAGTGTCCACGTCTCGGCTCCGTATGTCATCACAGGTAGGACGCACTGATTGAAGACTTTCGTCTTTAGGCACTGTGGGATCGACGATGTCAGGACTTGACGTAGCTTCCCAAACGCTGCCCAACCTAGCTGAACTCTTCTATTCACCTCGTCCTCAAAGTTGTTTCTAACTAACTGCAATGTCTGCCCGAGGTATACATATTTTTGAACAACTTCGAGAACGGCACCGTGTATTGCAATCGGTTCCGGTAGAACATGTTCATTGAACATGACCTTGGTTTTATCCAAGTTCATCCGTAGGCCGATGCGTATAGAAGAGTCAGCCAGGTCATTCAGCATCTGCTGTAGGTCCTGCAGGGTTTCTGCCATGATGACGATGTCGTCTGCAAATCGCAAGTGAGAGATGCGTTCGCCATTTATGTTGATGCCATGTCGTTTCCAGTTCAGCGTCTTGAACATATCCTCCATTGCATTAGTGAACAATTTCGGGGAAATAACGTCCCCTTGTCTCACTCCACGATGCAACGGTATGGGACTTGTTTGCTGATTCTGTACTTGGACAGACATGGTGGCGGCTTCGTAGAGACATCTTATCACTTGGATGTATCGCCAGTCGACTTGGCAACGCTGCAGGGACTCCAGGACAGACCAGATTTCAATCGAGTCAAAGGCCTTCTCATAGTCCACAAATGCTAGGCACAGGGGCTGATTGTACTCCTCAGTCTTCTGTATAATCTGCCGCACTGTGTGGATGTGGTCTATGGTGCCGTATCCACTCCGAAACCCAGCCTGTTCCGGTGGTTGGAAGTCATCAAATCTTCGCGCAAGACGGTTCGCGATCACTCTTGAGAACAGCTTATAGACGTGGCTTAGAAGGGATATGGGTCGATAGTTCTTAAGTAGGGTCTTGTCCCCCTTTTTAAAGAACAAGACGACCACACTCCTACTCCACGCTTCCGGAGGCAGGTCTTCGGTGAAGTGGCGTGTTAATGTGGCTCTAGAATCCTCATTTCCGGGATCAGGTCGAGATGCATGTGATGCGTATAACTGGCTGTAGAAGTCTTCCACTTCCGAAAGGACTGCCGGCTTTGAAGCAACAACTTCCCCACTTGCTGTGGTCAACTTCGTCAGATGGCTTCTTCCAAGAGATTGTACGAACACTTTGGACCCTCGATTCTGCTCGATCGCTCTCTCGATCGAGAGAGTATTGGAGCATCGGAGGTCGTGTCGTACGTGCTTACTGATCTCTTGGTTTAGAGTCCGCTTTGCCGACGAAGTGACGGGTGGGTTTTCACGTCGTTCCTTCATTAGCCCTAAAGTCTCTTCCGAAAGCTTTGACTTCCTGCCCTTACGCTGCGTT